ACCTCCTAATATCAAGCCAAAATAAAATCCAGGGCTGCATTCAGACAAGCAGGGCCACACAGTACGTGACATCACAAAACACATCTGCGGCACCACATACTGCATCAGTTCTCCGCCCTGCAAGGGGGGGGGGTTGACCCCTGGATATCCAGGGGTTAAAGAAACTTGCAGGGGGAAAAAGCAGAGCAGCGCGCACATGGGCAGCATACGCTGCTTATAACTGGAGATTTGCCAGCCAGAGCCACACTGTGGCTGTCGGCAAGGCTCTCTGCAGCAGGATCACTGCTGCTACCCTGGGAGGCCCCAACAATCTCAGGTAAGGCTGCTGAGGCCAGGTCAGTTCTGGCCCCAGCTTCCCCTACCCCACCCGGGGTAACTTGCCTCATGCCAGAGGGCATGTAGCACAGCCGTTCCCCGGGGAAAACTAGCAGCAGCACAAGGTGTACTGCTGCTACTTGTCCCCAGGGAACCAACTGTCCACACATGTGTGGACATGGCCCAGGAGCCCAATCTTACTAGTTTGCACCTCCAAGGGGTGCTCTCTAGCTAGTACAGGCAGGTATAATTTCTAGCCAGCACTGCCCTTACCACCACCCCCCGCCCCCATCCCTCTCCCACCCCAAAGAGAGGCCAAGACAGAATTAAGAGCAGAGGCTCTACTTACATGAGTGTGCTTTCCATAGTAGGGATAGTACATGAGATCAAATGTTCTACTTTCTGGATAGAAGTCCACTGATTTGAGATCACTCACATTGCCTTTCTGAGATTAAAAATAGACATGTGTTTAGTATATGGGCTGTACAATACAGCTGCCTTCAGAGGAATGGTAAGGAGCTTTTATAATTGCCTCTCAAAACCCCCAGCACAAAAGGACTGGGGTATTGTCACCTACTTACACAGAGCATGTTTACTATTAGAACCAGCTGCAGCTGGGATGAGTCAGAAAATAACTGCCAGATCATGAAAGACAAAGTTTATGATATTTGTCACTTATACATCTGTCACCGTGTTTCATGGTATAGTTATTCCTAGCTAAGGGCCTGATTCAGTGCCTGCTGAACTTGGGAGTCTTTCCCACATCCTAAGTGTTGGCAAGGCACTCGGCACCACCCAGGCCAGAGGAGCCATGGGATTCTACGAGGAACAAAGCACCCTCAGTGGAGGAGCTGGGAGGGCTCAGTGCAACAAGATGCAAATGGCAGCTCACCCAGAATCAGGCTAGGGAAAGAAAACAGCTGACTCTTGGACCTATTTGCCTTCTAAGAACTTTCCCAGCCTGCAGCCCCTATACGGTAAGCAGACCTCACAATGCGCATCACACAGCAAATGTTTGGGGCCAACGTGAGTGCAGGTGTAATCCCATTGTACTTTTACCAGTTACCAAGGCGGAAAGGTGCTTGTTTATGCAATATAACAATGAGCCAAATTAAAGTCATACCTGCACTCTACAGTCCACGCTCACCGGTGTCCCAGCACCAGCCTGGTAGCCTATGATCTATGGAAACAAATTCACAATTCTGTGAAATGGGGAGCAAGACCATGCAAATCCCAGCTCCCACTCCAATTATTTTTCTCTATCACCAAGTTGCTTATCTGAATAGAATCTTTCTATACTCAGAGGTGTGTCCTACAAGCAGGGAATGAGGCCATTTATGCTGACGGCATTTCCCGTGCTTGCTTGTCTTGGACACCAAATTTGCAAGATCTTGGGACTG